CCTGCTACCTAGTGCACTAATTCCTTAGATTTTTAACTTACAGTCTTAAAATATTTCTAGAGTTTTGCTTCAAATCATACTTGTCACTTTTGCTTTTATCTTTCTAAGATAGTTTGAGGTGTCTGCTTCCCCTTCCTCTAAATTCAGGTGTTTAACCCATTAATATTTCCTGATCTATTCTTAAGCAATACCTTGTCTATGATTTTTGACATGTGATGCTCAGAAAAGTACCATTCTCTAGCTGCCATTTCATCAGTGTGGAGTAAAAAGAGGATGTGTTTCCCTGAATCAGGATGATCTGGATTTTTGTTGCTGTCATGGTATATCATATAGCAAGATCTTTTTAACTTGCTCTTGTTAGCAAACTTACTTGTGACACTACTTTATGCCAAAGATGCCTTTGAGTTTGTTAATTTTGTCTAGATCTATGAACTTTTTTTTACCCTTCCTGCTAAAGCCATGCTGTGTTGTATTTCTGCTTTCTCTAAGATGCTTACACTGATGAAGATCTGATGCTGTATTGGAAAAATGGGAACGAATCTCTAAAAACTGATGAAAAGATTTCTTTGTCTCAGTTTTTGATACAAAAATTCCACACCACATCGAGGCTGGCTTTCTACAGCAGCACAGGTATTGGCCTTTTCTGATTTAATGCTATTGCTAAAGCTAATGCTGTATTAACTACTTGTGAAAGAGCTCTTGGGATTATATGTTACTGGAATGTAGCCTCCACAGCCTGGACAATATGTGTTTTGAAAGATGAGTTTCTGTTCCCACTACCCCCTAGAAATAAAAAATCAAAGGAAAGCTCTTGCCTCTGAGTGCCTACCACCCAGGCTGTTCTCACTGATTCTGACTTTCCTCCTCTCTCAAAGGTTGGTACAATCGCCTCTACATAAACTTCACTTTACGCCGACACATCTTCTTCTTCTTGCTCCAAACCTACTTCCCTGCCACCCTCATGGTCATGTTGTCCTGGGTTTCCTTCTGGATCGACCGCCGAGCGGTTCCTGCCAGAGTCTCTTTGGGTGAGAGCAACTGCAACAAGCCATGACTGTGTGAAAAACTTTGAACGTGAATGTTTGGGCAGGAAAGGGAACTGTTCATTTTGATGGTTAAAGATATTGGGCAGACAAATGTTTGTTTTATCTGATGATTAATATAATGTAAAACTTGCAGTTGGTCTGAAGTCCTTCATCGCTAAGCAGTCCTGCTGATCTATACTTAGCTCAGGATAGAAAGGGCTGTGTTTTTAAGGATAAAGTTGGGCAGAGAAGAGAGGTTTCCATATTTATGAGTCGGTGAATCAAGATTTTTCCCTGTTGTCCAGCCCTGCAGTTCTGAGACGCACATATTGCCATAAGCGAGGGTAGAGTTTCACAGCAGTTTAGGCTCCTACAGGGAATTAAAGGCTTCTGTTACAATTTTCATGAGCGCCTTCCTTGAGCAGGGTCCTGCCATGTCCCAGATGCCACAACGGGTGTCCCAGCCAGGGAATGTGTCTTCCCAGACAGTCAGCACTGGTACCTTGGCCAGTGGCTTTCTCCAGGCTGCCTGGAGGGCACCGATGTGGCACACCTTCACAAAGCTGGGAAAGAAAGGCAGCAAGGGATCTGGTCCTATCAGCACCTGCAGACTTAGGTGTCCCTCTGTCTGGTGTGCCCTGGGGACACTCAGGGCATCTCCGTAACATCAGGCCTCAGATGACAGCAGGGCAGTGAAGGGAACGTGGCTTTCCTCTCATATCTGCAGTGCTGAGGATGAGAGGCCACCAGCCCTGAGGTAAGGCAGGGGTTGGCTTTCTCCTCTCCCGAGGGTGCCTCACAGTGAGGGTCCAATGTTTCTGGGGTAGGGAGGTCTCTCATTTGAGGGAGTGGGGAAAAAAAGGAGATCCTGGAAAATCATGCGCACACCAATCTGCCTCTCGGGACATCTAAAACCCCTCGGGAAGAGCTTTGTCTATGTCAGGACTGGAGGAAATTCTTTCAGCTGAGCATAAAAGGAGCCGATTTGTTTATCATTCCATGTGTAGGTTAGAGGAAGGCAAGAATGTAACAGGAAAAAAATCTCTGAATGTTAACGTGTAAGGCTTCCAATACTAGAAGTATACAAACAGTATTTTAGCCCACTTTTGTCTCACTTGGAGAGCTGTGCACTGCAGCAAACATACGAGAAGAGGCAGTTGGGCATCTACCCCACTGGAAGAAATGTGTTCAGTGGATACTATTTAAAAAAAAAAAATCGGATCCCACTGAAATGGGAACAGTAGCTGTGTTTACAGTCGTCACTGTTTTGAAATGGCTGAAATTGCTATGAATGCTTTTTGGCTCTGTTTTCTCTATTTAAATGGCTTTGGGAACTTGTAAATATTTTTATCTCCATGATGATCCAAAGTATATACTGTTTTGCAGGTTTTTATCTGTAGCTGTCTCAATACATATATATACACATATATATGTATGTATATATACACACACGTGTGTATATACATATTCACATACGTATATGTATATGAATATAAACACATATACATACGTTTATAAACTCGTACACCCGCACACATCTGTGTATATAATACAAGGGTGGTTGTTCAAAACCTTTTGATTCCCACAGCTTGAACTGTAAACAAGTATTTCTGGAGGTAAAAACACAGTGCTTTACTTTTGCATGGCTTCACGCAAAATTTTACCATTATTGCACGTCCCTTCTAAGATCAGTGATTTAAATCAAATCCTCTTTAGCTGTGTCCAAAAGTCAATACTGGGTTGCTTTCTGACAGTGCCTGTAACAGATTGGTACAGCAGGGAAGCGAGTCTTCGTCACCACTGGTCTCAGCAGACCCGACTCTCAGCACTGTTAAAATCCTAGAGGTTTAGGAGGGAGTTAAATGCTGTTCCTGCCAAAATGATGGCTGCTCCATTGCTCCCCAAAACTAAACCCATCATGTGCATGGAAGTGCAGGCAATGGAACAGTTCTGCATTGGCAGGAGAGATGCTTATCACAGATTTATTTCATCTCTAACATCTTTTAGAGCGTTAGGGACTGAATCACTCAGTAACATGTATTGCTCTTGGTTCTGTCCAGGGATTACCACCGTGCTGACCATGTCCACCATCATCACTGGGGTGAATGCCTCCATGCCCCGTGTTTCCTACATCAAAGCAGTGGACATCTACCTGTGGGTCAGTTTTGTGTTCGTCTTCCTCTCGGTGCTGGAATACGCAGCAGTGAATTACCTGACCACGGTGCAGGAGCGGAAGGAGAGGAAGCTCCGGGAAAGGGTGAGGAAACTTTTGTTTTGTTCATCCATTTATTCCTCTTTTTTTTTTTTTCCCACAGCTGATTTTTTTTTTATATTGACTGGTTTGTGTCTATAAAAGAAGACATCCATGAGTGTATAATTGGATCTATTTAGACCGCTCCACCTCAGGCTGAGCTGCTAACGCCAGAAAAAACCAGGGGTTGGTTTGATGGGTCTTTGTAGCAACATCAGAAAAGAGCAGAGTGTGATCTGTACTGGGGAAGTTTGCACCCTGTGGCTGCATGGGCATGACAAGAGGGGAACATATCAAATCTGATACTTGACTGTGGCTGCCACAATTGCTGTATTTTCAAGCTAAACGTGTTATTTGGAGCAAATGAATTCCCTCCCTTTGCAGTCAACTTTACTCTGGAAACTGGATTCAATGGACGTAAAGTGGAGTTGTTCCCCATTACCACAGTCAGTCAAGTTTTTGCTTGTACTTTTTAATGTGCTATGAAGGGTGTTATCGTGCATCCTTGGAGATTTTCAAGGCCTGACCAGACACAGCCCTGAGCAGCCTGGCCCTGCTGTGAGCAGGAGACAGGGCTAGAGACTTCCTGAGGTCCCCTCCAGACTGAATTGTCCTACAGACCCGTGATCCCTACTTCTTAGCCGTTAAACAAAACACCTTTTGAACACTAAGGCTTGGCACCAAATTTTTTCAGTCTCCACACACCCAGAACATTGCAATGTTTTACAGCTTATTCCCAACATTAGTTCACAGGTAACATTGATTGTGCCTACTGCCTTTGACTCCTGGAGGACTTTGTATCAGGCTTTCAGAAATGCCAGTGCACACATCATCTTTTGTATGATTTGACTATGACATTTCCCTCGCTGAACTGCTCTGTTAGCTTTGCATATCCTGCTCTGCACCTTACACTTCTTCCTATGACTTCCTTGAAGTACAGAATAGACCACCTACCGGACCAGTACCTTTCCTAGTTGACATCTCATCAAAAATTTAGCCAGATGATACATTTTAAAAAGCGATTGGAATAAAGTCAACAGAATGGTGTGACAGAATGTGACCTTTCTCCAAGGCCTTCTCAACAACAATGTGATTCTGGAAAGCTACCTGAACAGGTCCTGTCTGTCTTGATTTATTTGTGCCCCCATCCTAGTCTCCACTCAGGGCTCAGTAGTTTTCTGCAACACAAGGTAGAGATGCTCTGTGTGGTCTGGGGTCTTTTAGCCAGCCCTGCTCAGACTCCCCATGTCCAGAGAAGACCTATAAACCCAGTGCATCTTGACAGTACTCGGGAAATGACAAAAATCATCCATTCTAGGTTTGACTTGCCTAGAATAAACCTGTTTGTTTTTAACGGTGAGAAAGCTCTCCTTCTGTATAAGGGGGATGTAATGAACTTGAGAGGGTTTGCTGCAGTTCTGCTAAGTTTTCAGGAAAGTTTTCCCACATCCAGCAATGGCATAGCTTGTTATTATATCACAAATCTGCCCTGTATTGAGTCTTGTGCATTGAGTTCTATAATTGGCAAATGCCTTTTTACTGCCCAAAGTAAAATATTCTATCGAGTCTTCAGCACGTGACAGTATTAATCCCCAACAGTGGTAATAGGAACAGAGATGATAAGCAGCATTACTTGAGGGGATTGTGGCAAAAATGTAAGTGATGGCTTTTGAAGAAGCAGAAGAGGTGTTTCTCACTGTGAACGTAGATCTTCGTTGGCTTCGCCAATTGGACACTCACAA